TTCTCGAAAGGTAAGCACTGATCGTTTTATTGCTAATCTTGGTGCTTTTTTTAAGATTCATTGATAGTTCGAATTGTCATTAGTATTATAAGTTTATTTGTTTGTTATTGGTGATAGCTAGCCAATAGGAAATGATTAGAAATTTTCACTCAATCCAACTGCCAACAGTGAAATTTGCCCTGAATTTTTACAAGCTTAACGCTTCCATAAATAATGTATCAACACGTGAAGAAAATGTTTGAAAAATTAATTTTCCGTCAAATTGTGTAATTGACTAAATGTATTTGAAGCCTAGATTATAGAACTGAGTCAATCCGATTGCAATGTTTTTGAAGCCTAGATTATAGAATTGAGTCAATCCGATTGCAATTAGAGAACACGATAAATAAGATATTAGAGATTACTACACATTTACAAAAGTTTGTTAACATTTTAATATTTTGAAAACCTTAAAAAAATGTTCTTGAGTTCCCCGGTGGCTCAGCGATGAGCTTGAGGGTTTATAAAGCTAAAAATCAAGTTTAACATGCTGTGGGTACAGCGCAGATAGCCCTTTGTGAAGTTTTCGCTTTAAACAATCAAATTTTTTTCACGCCTGTGTGGAGCGAGAAATGTAATATATCAAGTGAACCGAGGCTTTTCGTCATTGTTAGAAAATCTTACTGTTTGATATACATATTCAATGATTCATTTACGGTACTTTTATACATTATTTAAAGGAACAACACAGAAAACTTTCTGTCATTGCTGCTTTAATATTTTCAGCAACAGAATACTATTTAAAGTTTTTAACTTATAACACTTCTAAAGCACTCATATTTAGTCAGAAAAAAACGAATAAAAAAATGTAAGCCTCGTTGTTTTATAGAAGGAAATATCTCTTCATTCTACATATACGTTTAAAATTGTTATGTGTTACTAAGGAAGTACAATAACAATGAAAGAAACTAGACTGATTACTTAACCTGTCACAAACTAGGAGGCGAAATTTAATAATTAGTGTATCCGGAAATAGATTATCAAAACTCGTGTTTCAGAGACAGGAACGCGAACCCCAGTTACAATGCCTGTTAGAATTCTAACGGACCAACAGAGACGCATTGTAGCATTCACAGAATATCATAGTAGCGTTATACGGGCGTTTCAACCCATTCAGAAGTAAGTGTTAATAAGTATGATAACGTATTTTCCGGTACTGTACTGGATGAGAACGAGATCTGAATCCAGACTTACTTGTGTGAAACTTGAGAAGTATGTGACTGGAATCATTAAAAAAAAGATAATACCAATTAGGTTGTTAAATTTGATCAATTTTGAACGTAGAATTCGTAAGTCGTGCATTTAAAGATTTTTGAATTTAAATATGACTTTTATTCCCTACGAAAAAAAAACAAACTTGGTGTTCCGTTAACTTAATTGTCACGTTACTCAAAAAGATCAATAAAGAATGATATACATAAATAGTTTTAACTCTGACTTATTGAGAAGCTACAGCCAAATGAGGTAACATTTATTCGAAACGATTGCGTGGACCAAGTTTATGAGATTAGTTTACTTTAAATTGTGTGTTTTCATTGGGTTGCTTGTCTTTGTGCAATAACTAGTAATCTCGTAATATTAATTATCTTTGTGGTTACTTTAGAATCAAAATGTCGGAAGTGTTATCATCCTTTCATAATTAAAATTTCATCTTTGATCACACTTCCCCACAAATAATAAATTCTACATATATATTAACAGGTTGAGTACTGTAGAAAATTTCCAGGTCACAGACTACTTAATATTACTGAATGGAAAGATACAAGGCTAGGCTAGTGTCTCAGTGGGGGGTGCGATGTAATAATAACATTTATCACCCTGCTTTACACCGCTACACAGGCAAGATCGAATCTCATAAAGGACTTCTATCGATCCAGTTTTATGTCTCTTCAGTGTCAAGAGATACACCATGGACATGAACGTCCTCAATGCCAGACATAGCATGTTTACATTAGAGGTTCCCTCACGTCTGTGAACTGATACAGGAAATTCTCATAAAGTATTTAGTCTAGACTTTATCGGCTGATTCCAAATCTATAATTGACAGTTTCCTCAACTTACGTATATCACTGTTGCAGTAAAAGACATTAAATCCAGAGAGCATGTCTATTTGTATACGTTAGATATACTTATTAAATATCTTTGTAAAGTTTCATTACGTTTGTGTGTTTTAATACCAGTGATAAAATATGTAAATAATTCAAACTTGATATATTGTTTGTTTATAAAGTATCTTTAATTATTGGTAATTATTGAAGCACACTGTTAAACCCCGCGAATCAACTAAACACAAAAAGCATCTGCTTTGTGTTTGGATTTTGAATAATGTTATTGTCTAAACTGGAGAAATTGTTTTAAACATGTTATATAATATTGATTTTACAATAAGAGTGTTTCCGGTAATATACGCGAGATTTAAAGATAAGTAAGATAGATTTTTATAATTATTGGCTTTATTTCTTCTTTATCAAGGAAGTAAACCCTCTAAATAATGATGACGTCATTTTGAGACGAGCAAGCTTGAAGATAATAAATGAAGTATTATTAATTTGGACTCTAGTTTAAATTTCAACTACATGAAAATTGAGAAAATTTAGCGATAACTAATGAGCTTTGATGTATATAAATTTTAATTAATTAGAGGCAGAACGAAAGCACCAAGACCAGAGAAGGGAGAACTGAATCTAACAATAAGAATTACAGATTTGAAGAAACAAAAAAATACATACATATAACTGCTCGAACTTTAATTGTGTACATAAAGTACCCAGAAATAACTGGGCAAAGCAGCGAAATATGAGCAACCAAAAAGACGCCCAAGTATACAAGTTTAATGAATTCGCAAACGTAGAAAGTGTTCGATTACTTTCAAAACATCTCATTTCATCATTTTTAGTTTAAGACAGTTCAGTGTTTATTTTTTGACTATTTTGTAAAAGGTATACATTTAGATAAGGTGAGGCGACATGTTTGGTTTGAGTAATTATTTAATACTATTTATTAAAGCTTAAATAAATCCCTCTTCTTGTCGTCTAAGAAAGAACAACAAACAGGGCTGCCTATTTAATCTTTTATATATATTAGGTTGCCAGGAAAAGTGGATATGACATCGTGCTCCCCCCCCCCTTCCAGTAGCACAGTGGTATGTCTTCGGACAGAGCACAGATAGCCCATTGTGTAGCTTTGTGCTTAATTACAAACAAGCAATATGACATCGTCATTAGTATTTTCGGTAAACTTGAAAATGTAACTGTCATTCATCATAGTTAGATAAAAGCCTGTGGATAAGTTACTGTTGAAATAAGTATCACTGAACATCTAATTGAGATTCTGGTTACCTTTTATAAATAAAGCTTCCCCTAAAAACGTTATTGTATAAGTACCATACTTTATTAAGTAGCTTCTATGTCAGACTGAAGTCACTTTATATGACAAAGGAATAAATGAATAACTTTTGTGCATGCGCATTGCCATCGTTGATCAAGATTATAGAACTCGTTTAACCTAATAAAGTCCTAATTGATCATTAATAGGAGGATCTTCGTGGGAGCGGAAGTAACCATAAGGCATAACCATGAAGGTAGATTAGAGTCTTCTGTCTTAAGTTTCTTTATCTAATTAACCACATTCTTGTAGATATGTGTAGCACTGTAGCAGCCATTGCTACACGCTTTCCTTTAATCTTGTATTTTGTATACATACAAGACAGGTGATTGTAATTTACATCATAACGTGACAGGAAGCGATAACTTACACTATAAAGTGACATTGTAAGCTATTTTTTACGGGATTAATAAAGCATGTTTCATACGCTGTCTAATATAGAAAGCTTTGCATTATAAGTTTGTTTGTTTTGAATTTTCGCGCAAAGCTACACGAGGGCTATCTGCGCTAGCCGTCCCTAGA